GGTATCAGGAAGATTTGTGTGTATAGACATAGGGGAGTTACATGAGGAAGAGATGTGATTAGGAAAGTTAACTGGGACCAGAGTATGGTAAAATTTAAATTCCATGTAACCTGAATTCAGATTTCCTTCAGTAGACAATCATGAGTTTCCATGGCTTCTGAGCAGGGGGATGATATTACTAGGCACTTTAGGAAAGTGTATAGGAAGGAATGGTATAGAGAGTAAGCAACATGTTCATTTAAGTGTCTTTTATAATACAACAGAAGAGAGAAGGTATGTATCAAACTGGGAATAAAATAGAAAAGGAGAGGCATCTGAGAGAGTCTTGAAGGCAGAAATCATAGGATTTGGAAGTCAATTAGATATTTTTAGGGGGTTGGGACAGGGAGACACAAAAAGTGAGGAATCAAAAATTGCAAATTTTGATTGTCTAAGCTTCTAAGTTGGATGAATAGAAGGAAGGTGACACCACTACTTAAGAGTTCATACAGGAAAATAGGAAAATTTAATAGAGATGAGCATGATTGTGATTTTTGAACATTTTTACATGCTGAGTTCAAAGCGCCTATGGAAAGACACTCAGCAGGCAATTAGAAACTTGGGTCTGAATTTCAGAAGCAAGTTCAAGGGTAACTACCCAAATCTGGGAATTCCCACAAAAAGATGATAATTAAAGTATTGTTACTATATAAATTCGTTCAAAAACAGGTTTTAAAAAAAAGCTTTTCCCAGACCACAGGGAAAATAATTACAATTAAGGAACAAGTGGAATAAGAATAAAGAAAGAAATTGAAAAGAAAACATCAGAAAAACAAAAGGAAAACCAGGCAAGTGCAGTGATAATGGAGCCAAGGGAAGAATTTCAAAAAGAAAGAGGTGGCCGATAGCACAACATCAATAACAATAATGATGACATGTCCTCACTTTCTCATCTGAAATCCTTGGACCAAGATGTGTCTCACAATTTACAACTTTTGGATACAAGTAATAAGGCACATGAACCTCATTAAGTAACACATAGTAAGATGTGTGGCAGCATCCCATAATTAACACATAGATATATCTATAATGAAATGTATTATGAATCACACTAAGAAAAGATTAATCGATACTACAGCCTTGCTTAGGTGCATGTCAGGGCCAAATGAGTACAAGCCAGCTCAAGTTTAGCTAACAAATAAATCATGAAAAAGCATTTGGTTTTCAGAGTATTTGGATTTT